GCCCTAGGACTAATCTTGTGTTTTGCCCGCCATATACCTGTCTGCCATTATCTGACCCATGCCTGTATTATGACCACGTCTGTGTCTTCTCCTAATAAAAAGCTTGCATATAGATCCGCCCGTCTCACTTCTTGTCAGCCCCGTCACAGAATACTCAGCCACACCAGCATTCAGCAGCTTCTCGGATGGATATTGGCCAGGCATGGATGTGGCAAGAATATTGTTAGCCCTTAGACAGGGCACACGATCACTGGCTTCCCGAGTCAAGTCAGGTCACAGCTGATCTTCCCGAGTCAAGTCAGGTCACAGCTGATCTTCCCGAGTCAAGTCAGGTCACAGCTGATCTTCCCGAGTCAAGTCAGGTCACAGCTGATCTTCCCGAGTCAAGTCAGGTCACAGCTGATCTTCCCGAGTCAAGTCAGGTCACAGCTGATCTTCCCGAGTCAAGTCAGGTCACAGCTGATCTTCCCGAGTCAAGTCAGGTCACAGCTGATCTTCCCGAGTCAAGTCTATTCACAGCTGATCTTCCTGAGTCAAGTCTAGTCACAGTTGATCTCCCTGAGTTCAGTCAAGTCACAGTTGATCATCTCGAGTCAAATCAAGTCACAGCTGATCGTCATGAGTCTAGTCAAGTCACAGCTGATAGTCATGAGTCTAATCGAGTCACAGTTTATTTTCATGAGTCTGGTCAAGTCACAACTGATCGTCAGAAGTCTAGTGAAGTCACAACTGATCGTCAGGAGTTAAGTCAAGTCACAACTGATCGTCAGGAGTCAAGTCTAGTCACAGCTGATCTTCATGAGTCAAGTCAAGTCACTGCTGATCTTCACGAGTCAAGTCAAGTCTCAGCTGATCTTCATGAGGCCAGTCAAGTCACAGCTGATCTTCATGAGTCAAGTCACATCTCAGCTTTTCCTCCAGAGCCTCGTCACATCTCAGCTGTTCATCCAGAGCCTCGTCACGTCTCAGCTGTTCATCCAGAGTCATGTCACATCACAGCCGATCATCCAGAGTCATGTCACGTCCTGTCTGTTACACCCAGAGTATCAAGGTCAGTTCTTCAGTATCCCAGACTGGCTTCCAGCATGGAGGACCCACCGCTGGTGTCGGCACGTGCAGCTGGCATCCCTAAACCAGTGCTCTCAAACCCTTTGTAACAAATCAGCTCATGGGAAATATGAATAATTAATCATAACTAGTTATAATTAATTATGAATATTTTAGATCCGCTGTAGATATTTAGCTGACCTCTCAGGGTCAACCGTCTTGTCAATTCTAAGAACGTTAATTTCCTGGTTAAGGGAAATAACTTCCTTACTGTACAATTCTACAAAAGCTTGTAGCATAAATCTGCATGATTAAGTGACTCAGTTATGAGCAAACAATGAACCACGTCAATTCTCTGCTGAGTATTGTTTAGCCCGTACCCCGTTCCTAGTCTCTGTGTTTTCCTTGTTTTGCCTGTTTTCGCGGTTTCGGATCTTTGCCTGTTTTCTCTGGATTTATCCCTCTAGTCTCGCCCCTCTGATTCTGTCTGCCGATCGTCGACCTACGCTAGCCCTAGGACTAATCTTGTGTTTTGCCCGCCATATACTTGTCTGCTATTATCTGACCCATGTCTGTGTTATGACCACGTCTCTGTCTTCTCCTAATAAAAAGCTTGCATATGGATCCGCCCGTCTCACATCTTGTCAGCCCCGTCACACATACAGTTAATCTGAGTTGTGCATTCATTTGAGTGCTGACAGATATTATGGGAGTGGCTTGATGGAGCGCAGGAGATGCAGATAACTTGATCTTGACCCTTAAGAAACTTTAATCAAGTCAAGTCAAGTCTGCTTTATTGTCAATTCTTCCACATGTACAGCACATACATACAGAGAATTGAAATTGTGTTACTCTCAGACCCTTGGTGCATACAGATAACACTAACAGTAGAACATAAATACAGATAGATACAGATTAAATATAAAATACAACTATACAAATAAGGTCATGTAAAAATATTAATAAAGCAGCACAAGGCACATGGCAGATAGAGTACAAACCAGTGAAGTAAACAAACAGTGCAGATATAATGATTGTAGTGCAAAAGAGCTTATTCAGACTGATTAAAGTGACAAAAAGAGTTATTTATTTAAACTGTCAGAAGAGGTAGTTGAATGAGGTCAGTTCAATGCTGAATGAGGTAGTGAGCAGACCAGTGCTGCACAAAGTGACTGGTGCAGGTCCCAGTGTGTTAGTGAGAGGGGGGTCTGGGGTTCAGAGTTCAGTGGTGCATGGGGCAAAAGGTTGGGTTCTTGACAGCCTGATGAATGAAGCTGTCCTTCAGTCTGCTGGTCCCGGCCTGGAGACTCCGCAGTCTCCTCCCTGATGGCAGCAGACTAAAGAAGCTGTGTGTCGGGTGGGTGGGATCACCTGCAATGCAGAGGGCTTTGCGGGTGAGAGGGGTTACATAAATATCCTGGAGGGAGGGGAGAGAGACACCAACAATTTTCTCAGCTGCTCTCACTATGCGTTGAAGTGACTTGCGG